GCTTCATTCCTAGTATTTTATAGATCCATCCCCAGTGTTCCCTAGTATTTTCTAACTCATGCAATATATTTTCTAGCTCCATCCCCAATATTTTGTAGCTCATCCACAGTATTCCCCAATATTTTCTAGTTGATCCTCAAAATTTGCCAGTATTTTCTAGCTCATCCCCAATATTCCCCAGACTTTTCTACCTCATCCCCAATAATTCTTATCTCATCCACAATATTTTCTAGCTCATCCCTAAATTTTTTAGCTGATCCCCAGTATTTTCAAGATCATCATCATTCTTTTCTAGCTTATCCCAAATATTCCCCACCATCTTATAGCTCATCCTCAGTATTTTCTAAAAATATCCCTATTATTTTGTAGCTCATCCCCAATATTTTCTAGCTCAACCTTAATATTTTCTAGCTCACCCCCAGTATTTTCTAGCTCATTCCTTATATTTTCTAGCTCAAAAAAGTATTTTCTAGCTCGTCACTGGAATTTTCTAGCTCATTCCCAATATTTTCTAGCTCAGTCATAATATTTCCTAGGCTATCATCAGTATTTTCTAGCTCATCCCTTATATTTTTTAGGTCATCCCCAGTTGTTTCTAGCTCAACCATAATATTTTCTAGCTCATCCCCAATATTTTCTAGCTCATCCCTTATAATGTCAAGCTCATCCCCATTATTTATAGCTGAACCCCAATATTTTCTAGCTCATCCCTTATATTTTCTAACTCATTCCTTATATTTTCTAGCTCATCCTCAATATTTTGTAGCTCATCCCTTTTATTTTCTAGCTCATCCCCAGTATTTTCTAGCTCCGTCCCCAGTATTCCTCAGTATTTTCTAGATCACTCCAAGTATATTCAAGCTGATCCTCAAAATTTGCCAGTATTTTCAGCCCTTCCCCAATATTTTCTGGGGTTTTTTCCAATTATTCCCCAGTATTTTCTAGCTCATTTCCAATATTTTCTAGCTCAACCCTAATATTTTCTAGAGCATCCCCACTTTCTTTTAATGCATCCCCAATATTTTTAGCCCAACAACAGTATTTTCTAGCTCATTCACACTATTTTGAAAATTTTCAATTGTCCCCGCACTTTTTTTTATGTCGTCCCCAATATTTCCTAGCTCATCCCCTGTATTTTTCATATTTTCTTGTTTATCCCCATCATTTTCTAGCTCATTCCCAATTTTCTTTTATCTCATCTCCAATATTTTTACGACATTCCCACTATATTTTGGCTCATTCCATATGTTTTGTAGTTCTTCCCTAAAATTTTCTAGCACTTCCCCAGTGTTTTCTAGCTCATCCCCAGTATTTTCTGATTCATCCCTAATATTTCATAGTTCATCCCTAAAATCTTATAGCACTTCCCCAGTATTTTCTAGCTTATCCCAATACTATTTTCTACCTCATTGCTATTATTTTCTAGCTCATCCCTTTTATTTTCTAGCTCATCTCTACTATTTTCTAGCTCATCCCTATTATTTTCTACACGTTTTCCTGATCAAATATCAAAATACAGCGTTCACATGAAGCATAGATCTAGCTAAATTAATTCAACTTAGTCAATCATATTCAACATAGAAAGTTCAAACGTCAAAATAAAGAGAGAGCAAAATGTAACACTAGGCAGCTCAAATGTCAAAATAGTTTAAATTCAACATTATCAGTTCAAATTCAACATTTGTCTGTTTAAATTCAACACTCAATATTTTAAATACAATAGATCGTGTTACGTGGTCTTGAGCAGCCCCTCCTCTTTCTCTCTCTCTCTCTCTCT